CTCCCACCTGCCTGGACTTGTGGTCGAGCTTTTCTCCTTCTGCTGGCCAGCCGCTGCCCTTTTGCTCTTTCTCCTCCCTTTTGACTCCACTCTGGGCTTCCCTAATGAGGGTTGGTTCTTCAGGGTTTGGGTCCTGCTGGCTTTTCCAGCCATGGCAACCATAGCCCCGAGCACCCCTGCGGACTACAGCCGGGCCCACCGACGTGAGCCTGTACACCTCGTTGCGGACCGCGTGGTAAGGCCCATTACGAGAACCAACCGTGCCAGGTTGGCCGAGAACTTCGGGGCCTGGCTTACCGAGTTCTGTGGGCACAGCCTCGAGGCCCTCCTGGCCTCTCCTGCAGACCCTTCTGAACGAGTGGCTCAGTTGCTGGTGAGCTATGGTCAGGCCCTTTTCCGGGCCGGCCAACCCTACTACAAGTACTCTGAGACCATCAATGCGGTCGCGGCCCTGAAGCCCAGCATCAGGCGAAACTTATCTCTGGCCTGGGACCTCGCCTTCGCATGGCTTACAGAAGAACCACACTGCCATCATAAAGCCATGCCCCAGAGCATACTTTTGGCGGTGCTCAGTGCTGCTATTAGTTGGGGCTGGCTCTTGGAGGCGGCCATATTTGCTTTGGCGTGGTGTGGGCTACTTCGACCGGGAGAAGTGCTGCAGGCTCGGCGGGAGGATTTGATTCTCCCTCGGGACGCTGCACCTTCGACGCAGCATGCCTTGCTTGTTATAAGGAACCCGAAAACGCGTGGACGTGCGGCCCGCCACCAGTCTGCCCGCATCGATCCTTGTGACATTGTGCAGCTGCTGGACCTGGCCTTCGGCAAGGCTGCCCCGACCACGATGCTTTGGCCCCTTTCAGGTGCCACTCTGCGACGTAGGTTCGAGCAGCTGCAAGGAAGGCTTGGTCTGAAGGAGCACGGCCGAGTTACCTTTGACCTCAGCTCCTTCAGGCCAGGCGGGGCGACATGGATGCTAGGCCTCACAGAGAACTCGGAGCTGGTCAGGAGACGGGGCAGATGGTTGTCACTCCGCGTCATGGACATCTATCTTCAGGAGGTAGTGGCTATCACCCTGCTCCCCTCACTCCCGGCTGATATTCGGTCGCTCATTGAGGCCTTGGCTGAGAGCTTCAGTGGGCTACTACAACCGGCAACTTTCTTTGAGTCTATGCATATTCCTCGAGCCGCCTGGTACCGGCTTCTGGAAATGCCTGCTTGAGCTACGGCATGGAATGGGTGGTGTCTCTCTTTTCTGGGGTTTGGCTACAGCTGGGATACTTTGGTGTTTGTGCCTCCCCTTCACATCTAGCTTCTATTTGTGAAGGGTGGCCCGACTTTTGTATGAGCCTACCGGCTGCTGCTGTGCCGCTTCTGCCGAAATCGGCACCACTACGTACATGCCACGGCTGGCGGGAAAACGGCGCTCTCTGAACGTTGCTGCTTGAATACAGACTTGCTGAAGCAGCGTCGAAGGTAGATGCACTTCGAAAGACGATTCGGTCCGGCGGTGGATTCGCCGGCCAGCACAGAGTCAGAATATGGCAAGCCTGTGTGGTAAGCAGTGCCCTATATGGACTTGACTAGTCACTACACCAATTAATGGACACATACATGAGCACCAAGCAAAAAGCCTGGTTCCATAGACAACTCAGGGCTGTTGCGAACATGCCGGCTCACCTTACCAAAGTCAACAACAGCACCCTGCGGGAGCAATTTGGTTTGAAAGACGCCGCAGAAATGCTGTTGGCGCGAATTGAACGTAAATTGAAGTCCATAGAGCGAGCAAAGTGACCCTGCCATTAGCGGAGCTACGGCAGTGCAGTACTGGCACGATCTGAGAGATACCCTACACAGAGCTATACACACCCCAGCTCGTTTTTGCCTAGTTGAAGCGATCTCGGAGGATCGACGTGCGTGCCGCACATGTGGCCTGTACTATCTGAGGTTGTATAACTGGCAGGCTCTCAAAAGCCATCTGCTGCATAACGTGTCTAGCTGGTATAGTGCTTCGCCGCCAGCGAAAACAGCGGAACATGCTTCAAAGCCGGAAGTAAGTAGGAAACGCACCAAGCCCGAAGCACACGCGCGGCCTCCGCGCAGGAGCTCCACCCAGACAGCAGATGCCGACACTCAAGCTACACCCCACGGGACACAGAAGTTTTCACGTCTACTTGAACAATCCTCGCCTCTGAGCACACATGAGTCAATGAGGAATAATTTTGCAAGAAGCACTGCACAAAGACCATCTGCGACAGCGCTGCGGGCTTTGAGGAAGATGGATAGCAGATGCAGGCATGATCAACACACACAGTCTGTGAATATTAAATATACCTACTCCAACGTGACCAAACATGCTTGTGGTGCCAGGGACTACTACGCGGAGCTGATAGATCTGATAGTCGCAGCTATCAGTGTCCCGTGCTTTTTAAACTTGTGCTGGCTCAGGAACAGCAAATGGCGGCCTCCGCCTTGCAGACAAACCGCCTACCCACTACGTGGCCTGTGCCACTTCCAAAGGAGGACCTGCTAGCCCAGCTTTCTGTGCAAATCCCAGAACAGATCCATCCAAACATTTACTCAGACGGCAGAGATAGCGAATCCCCCTGCCTGCTGTATGGAGAACAGGTACAGGACGTGCAGAGCTGGAGATGCCACCTCAAACAGCGACAGCCACGTCAGTCACCCTGCTCAGAGCGCAAGTCATTCGACCCTGCATCTGGTGCCGTGTTCATTTCCCCACGCCGGCTCGAGAACATAGACTGAAGTGTCTACCGCTTCTGCAGCTCTGCCTACGCCATGACGGAAGACACAGGATCTAACGCCGGCACAAGCGATGGCTTCGGTGTGGGCCAGCTCAATCCCCAAGAACCGGACAGATCGAGGAGAGGGCGCCCGGACCAGCCGAGCAAGTTCCACAAGGGCACCGGAAAGGGAAGAGGACGCGGACCACCGCCAAAGCCAAAGAGCAAACAGGGTCGGGATCCGGACAAGGAGCGCCTCACGGTTCAGGACATGGAGGTTCTGAAGGCGGCCATCAGACACGAGCAACAATTCAACGTACTCGAAGCGGACAGATCGTACATCTTCTCTGTCGAAACGAAAGATCTTCGCATTGTGCCAATCGCTAGTGCAAGCGAGCACGACCTGGCATCAGGGCTTCGAAGCGGGCACGGAGCCACACTATGGGGAGTCCTGCTGATAATGGCAGCTACGTCTACAGAAGACCGAAACTAAAGACTCCAGTGGAGCTACGCAGAGTGGCATCTAGAACAAGGCAAAGCGTTCCCCAGCAGCAAGAACAATATTCCACACGAGGAAGCCAAGACAGCGGTGACAAGGCTCATCAAAAACACAGCCAGAAACGACGTGGTGCGTCGCTTTCAGTCCCCTCAAGCCACTGAAACCACAGGCAGAGGTCATCGCTGCTGACACTGACGGTTCATCAACATGCAACAGAGATTTACCAGGACCTCGATAATCTGGCAAACAACAGTGCGGGCAAGCTGATCGGAGTGAGACTGAGGAAGGCAAGAGTCACCAAATCCGCACTGGCAACAGAACTCGAGCGTCTGCAGCTGTGACCTCAACCACACAATAAGCGAGCCTGCAGCAATCGAGGGAAGTGGTCTCCGCACCAGGCAAGGGAAGTTCAGACCGGGGCAGCTGCACAAGCAGAGCTTCGCAACTATTTTGCGAGCCGCACCAACTCTGCCCTTCAAACTAGGTCTAGCTCTAATACCCACGCCCAACTAAACCAAGCACAAGAACGCAGTGCACATAAACATTCCGTAGCAGAAGGTGTGACTGATCCGGGGGCACATCGCGACGATGAGACAAAAGACAATACAAGGATCCAGCGGACTCCGTGATAATGCCTGCTGGGACGGACAACAGCGGAGCTCGGTGCCAGCAGACAGGCCATTCTCACAAATGGCTACTTGCTGGGCTTTCGCCGGACTGAGCCCCTCTGAGTCTTAACAAGGGATCGTGGTTTTCCACTCCCCAACGCGGCGAGGTAGATCTGTACAGTAGTGAGAGTCGTGTTAGTCATGACGATATGAGGTTTCCTCATCGTCTGCAAAGTTTTGTATGTTGATGACAAACAACAGTTGTCATCAATTCCAGTACGAGTTGCTCGTTGTCCCACCTTCAGTCACACAATGGACTCAACATATCTTAAACACTGTAGATCCGCTGCTGCTGTCGGGCCTTTAGGGGCACAGCGGTAGCCAGCGGCTGTTTGCAGCTGATCGCTAAGGCGATTGCAATGATCACCGAACTCTCGCTGTAGGGGTGACTAGTTCACGCTCGCCCGCTGGACGATTTAATCAGTCGATGCGTTTGAATGAAAAAACAACGCAGTCTCCTGGGAAGACTTGGAGATGGCACGGCGAATGGGGTGAACCAGAGTCCAGATGCCGGTGCAGAGCATCCTGCGGACGCTGGCAAAGGCGGTCAAGGACCTTGACTTCGCCGTCAACGCAGCGTCGGATGAGCCGGCGAACGTGGCGGTGTGAGGGGCTGCCGGCGCAGAGCGGGAGGGCGAGCGCTAGGCGGGATGCGGAAAAGCGCCCCCGGCGCCGTACGGCCCTGCTCCGTTGAAGGCGACGGACCAGCGCGATGCGCTTCCTACGATTCAGGTGTCGAACTTGTCGAGTAACACATGTAATGTGTGCAGGCTGTGCAGGGACAATTCCGTCGAACGACGCATACGCCGCAGCTACTGCAGGCTTTGAATCGCGCCCGCCGTTTGTCAAGGACAACCTTCTCCTCCCATCTTGTTTGCTTTGAGAGTTGTGGGTCGTCGCTCGGTGGCGGGCGACGGGCCGGGATGCGGAAAACGTCCCCGGGGCCGTACAGCTCTGTTCCGGCGAAGGCGGCGGACCCGGCGCGATGTGCTTCCTACCATTCAAAAGAAAGGTCAGTCCGTCGTACTGTTTTGGGAACGCACGTCGGCTGTCGAACTTGTACTTGTCGAGCCTGTGACTTTCTAGAACGAGGCGTTCGCAGAGGCTACGAGTGGGTCAGCAACCGTCACCGCCGAGCAGAGCAGGCGACTTGCAGCAGCTGGTCTGTCGGCTTGTCAGACGGACTGGGATTCTGGACTTATCGTAGACTTTATATTGTCGAGCCATCTTTAGCCTCGCTTCACTCGCTTCTTCGTTGTTGGAACTGTGCTGCTGCATCGTGCTGCACACGGTTTAGGGGTGCACAAGGGATGAGTGCACTGCCGGTGAGCTAGATTCTCGGAGAGGAACGAGCCTCTTCTGTGACACTCGGTTCGGTTAAGGCACATGCTGAGTATCCAGACTGTTGCCCTGAGGCAGCAGATGGTGCTGAACCCAAAGGCCACGTCGAGGAATGCTCGGAATGCAAGGAATGTCTCCCCAGTCCAGGGGACGTCGTTGGGCCTTTGCAGCCTGACAAGTCCAGCAAAGCCTCGTCAAATGATGTGGCTGAGTCCATCAGGGTAGAAGGGCCTCTGGGAATGATCTGAGCTTTGCCAGGGCCCGCCAGATTGCACGCACTGTTGACATCTGTACAGCGACGGACAGCAAAGTGCAGGCCTCACGTGCGCCTGCACAGTTTCGTGGCACAGCTCTCCGGTGAAGCAGTCCGGCCAGCGCTGTGTGTGGATAGTGCCAATGGAGATCTGAGCAATTGAGTTGCTGTGTCACGTTTGAATTAGCCATGGCCTCTGCCGTGCTCCCGTGGTTCTTCAGAGCTGCCATGCGTTCTGCAAGAAGTCAGATGCCATATGCATTGATGGACGGGGATGCCGAGCCACCTTCGGTACAGGGCCAGGCAACTGTTAGGGGAGAGCTTGGATGTTGACCGTGATCACGTTGACCCCTGGATATATTGCATATGGCTGTCATCTCACCTTCATGGCGCAATACCAAAAGTGACGGCATGAAGCACAGAACGTCAGCATGTTGTAGACCAGGCTTTCATGCCTCCAAGTGGTGTGTGTAGTCGAGGAGGGTTGGCAACAACATATGTTGATTCGTGATGTTAGCTTGTTTGCAGCTCAGTTGAAAGCATCGAGCGGTTTAGCCGCTGAGCCTTCACTCCTCTGCTATCCTCTGTACAAAGTTGCCCTGTTCTGCTGAACACACAACAGCATGACATCTTTAGAAAAGAGTCTCATCAAACCGCCTCGCCATCAAGAGCTGTGCTTCAGCAAAAGCCGAAGCTGTCTTGTCTTCTTTCGGCCCCGTTGTCGCTGTCGCCATTGGGAGCCTGAAGCTTATCGTTGAACCACAAGGCAAGTTCTTCAGTGATGGAGGGGCTGAAGCTGCATAAGCCTGTAAGTATCTGTAAGTCCATCTTTCGACGCACTTCCACCTCGTGTGCCTTCATCATGGCATCGTCATGGCTCTCTCGTGCCGCCTCGATGGCACAAGCAGCTCAAGAAGCTGCAAAAGAGGTACGCCAGAACTGGGTTTGGCACTAGGGACGGATCGCCAGATGTCGCCAGGCTGCTGAGAAGGCAGCCAAGGAGGCAGCGAAACTCCGTGAGGAGGCACAGGCAGCTGCTCGAACCTGAGTTTTTGTCCAACGAGTCGTCTTTGCAAACGCGGAGCCGGCCTGACCTCTGAGGCTTCGGGGCTTGCTCAGGGGGCCGTGCCCTGGATGCAGTTGTGCAGCACTCATCATGGCCAGAGTATGCTTTTACAGCTCTACTGGCTCTACTGGTGCTTTGCCTAAGACGGTTAACGGGCGCTCTGCTCAGACTCGACAATACGCGTGCTTGAGCTGGTGGTCTCGCCGGGACCGTCATGATCATGATGATGGTGATCATCATCATCATCATCAGCAGCAATATCATCATCATCATCATCAGCAATATCATCGTCGTCAGCATCATCATCAGCAATACCATTACCATCATCAGCACCACCATGATCATCAGCATCATCATCATCGTCATCATCATCATCGTCTTCATCATCATCATCATCATCATCATCGTCTTCATCTTCATCTTCATCTTCATCTTCATCTTCATCTTCATCTTCATCTTCATCTTCATCTTCATCTTCATCTTCTTCATCATCAGCATCAGCAACAGCATCATCATCACCACCATCATCATCGTCATCATCATGGCATCATCGTGATAATCACCTTTTCGGACTTTGCAGGCAGAGTGCCCGTGACGTGTTCTCATGTGGTCTGCAGACTGTGGAGTGTAACTCGCTATCCAGATCCCAAAGCTGACGGGCATGCCCGGTGGAAAGCAGTCTCGGAACACAACCTTCTGCTACATTAATCAACCAACGAGTTATCGAGATCCTCATGTTACTCCACTCAGTTCAGACTTCCGGCCTGATGCCACGAACCCCCTAGCCCCAGCCTCGGCACAGCTTTAAACACTGCCACATGCCTATGGAGGAAGGCGCTGCAAGGACTCAGCGCTTGTCCCTTCCCAAGACAGCGACTCGTTTACTTTCCATCTGTGACAGCTAGAAGCGATGCCCCTACGACTCTACGAGCGACGGACTTATCCAAGGAACGCTTCCTTCAGCTGCCCACTGAGACCAAGCCAAGCACGGTCGATCTCCTCTTCCAGGCAATTGCATGTGGAATGCAAGATGTAAGACTCGTTGCAAGTCGGAAGCTGAGAGGATGGACCGTTGGGCTTCGAGTTGGAAGGTCCTCGGGTGGTGGCAGTGACCGCAGAGGCATCCATTCCGATGTCGTCATGAGCTTAAGGATGTGCACTTACTGCTTGTTACGAACTGTGCTACTCTGAGGGGCAGGCGGAGCACCTGGGGTTGCGCGTTGGATCGCGGCTGTTGGCCGTTGAGGGCGAGGTCATACCGGCGCCTCCTGCGGAGGCCGGAATGACCAGCAGTTCCCTGACACACACACACACAAACACAAATGCACATGTAACACGCAAACGTAAACGTGCACACACACACACACAGAGACCCAGAAACGCAGGCACACACATGCAGGCCAGCGTGGCGAGGATTCGACTGAACTGGATGACGTTTGCCATGTCACATTCCCGCACGTATGCGTTTCTGCGCACTGTGCGTTTTTACTGCGTATTGACGATGCCTGTCCTGTTTGGGGCGGTACAGATTTTGTAGGTTTTTTTGGTTTCCAGTTATTTGAGTTTTCTATATTTACAAGGTTCGTGCACTTCTCTGGCCTCAGACTGGATATTCATGTTGTTTCGTGCAAAGTTGACCAGCCTCCGACCGGGAATTTGAGTGTCTGTGGTTGCGGAGGGGTGGGGCGTGTGTGGGGAGAGGAGGCAACACCACCTTACATGAAACTGCCCGACGCCCCGGGAAGCTGCTGCTTTTGCTCGTTGATTGCAACGTATCGTGCACTCTGATCCGGCCAGTAGCCAGCATAGTAGAAACAATGATTATGGTGATGATGATGATGATGTTGTTGTTAATGATGATGTTGTTAATGATGCTGATGATGATGATGATGATGTGATTTCGCTGATAATGCTGCTGCTGCTGATGATGATGATGATGATGATCATGACGACGATGCAGACTCAAGGCACGTCCTGGAGAAACAAGAGCAACTTCTCCGCCCTAAGCCCTACGCAAAAACATCTGTTCATGCCACTGACTTCTCGACATGCCTCCCGTACCACATGTGGGAGCCTGCCACATCCATCCCAAGTCATGTAGTTTCTCCAGGCATTTGAAGATGATCGCAGAAAAGTTGTAACTTCTATCTATCCTGGCATACAATTCAAACAAAACTGCACACGCATGTAGCTGCTCGTGGCAAGATTCGCATATAGATGGAAGCTCGAACGATTGGCAATCCCCCGCCCCTCAGGATTCACCTGGGACGGGAGATGCCCGTGTGAAGAGGCTCATTCGGCCCCTCGGTGGGCAACGGAAGAGGGAGTCCGCACTCGAAGACCGTGGTCACCTTCAATCACGCCACTGCTGTTCTGCATGCCCAGGAAATGGATCCAAGGCAAAGCCCGCCCGGCGGCCCGACAGCACTTGAACGTCCTTTGATCGAAGCGCGAAGTTTGGAGGGAGCACCTGAAACTACGTAACAGAGGGCCTCCAAGCAGACCTACAAGCCATGTTACTGTTTACTCTAAGTTTACTAAGTTCTAACAAATTTGTGGGCTTGCGGCTTTTGGCTTTTGACATCTGCCACTTGTCATCTCTTGTTTGTGCGTACTGTTCTCATCCCACGTGGGTTCGCCAGATAGATCAGATAGAGATTAGGGATCTAATGGTCTAGGTAACTTGCAACCGGAGCCCATGGTTCTCATCAAGGTCTTTCAGAGTTTGCAGGATGTCGCAGGCTTCGGCACAAGACATTCAACCCTGCCTGTGCAGATTTCGCTGACTTTTGAGCCCCACGAAGGAGTTCCACGAGGCATCACTCCTCAATGCTGATAACTTCATATCGTGGAGTTCTTCTATGTGCGATTCGCCGTCGCAGGCGAAGGCGAAGCAGCTTCAGCTGCCGGTGAAGATGCTCAAGCTCTTCAACCTCTCATGTCTGAAAGCACTGCACGATGCACAGCCGAGTATCGCCGTTGGCTGAGTTTTTCACTTGGTGACCCCTGTACTGTAGCCACTTCCACATAGGCTCTTTCCTGAGTTCCTGAAGCAACCTCCTTTGAAGCTGCATTTGACACCTTCCAGTCGTTTGCATTCAGAACTGACCTTGCGCACTTGTCCCCTCCCCCCGTCCCGCAAACCTCCTTTCTCGAGGTGTAGACTGTAGAAGGGCTTGCGGCATGAGAGCCTAACCAGGACGAGGATTTCAGTATGCAGCTGTTCGTTTATTGTTGCGTGTTGTGATCTTTGGGTATGATCAACGGACAGTTACAAGAAGTGGGAGCCACAGCAGAACATCGCTCTGAATTCTTGGGCCTTCACATTGTGCAGTTGCCTCAGGTGCTGACGAAGCTTTGTTGGGCAATGCAGAAGAAGGCCTCGCGCCAGTCGCTCCATTGAAGTGATGTGAACAAATTAGGCACTGTCGTGCAGGTTGGGCACCAGACCTGCCTGGAGATTTCCAGCAAGATACAGGCGCGAAGTCCACAGGCAAGCAATTGCCAGGTCATGGGTAAATGCTGGGCGTCAACCGGTTGTGGGTTGATTGATAAGAACTGCAAGACTGCTGCGTGTGGTCTTGTGCTGTTGGCAGATGGCTGGGGACACGATGCCCTGGACCTCGAGATTCCGCAGGCGAAAATGTGGGATTTCTGTCCGGGTTCTGATGTGCAGGTTGCATAGATGCAGATGCTGAGGGGAGACTCTGCAACGTCCTGAGAAGATGATCATCCTGGGAGTCTCCAGCTCATGCCACGGTGTCGACAAGCTCCCTTTCCGGCAGTAAAGTCAGAAGACGCCGATGAGCTCGATAAGAGAGCAGTTCACGAATCACAGGCTTCCATGCGGCGGAAGGGGGCTTGGTTGGAGATGTTTGGAGGGAATGGCCCGTGCAGGACGCGTCAAACAGCACCAGGCAGTGGATCTTTTGCACAGCTCTGTAAAGCTACAACTAGTTTAGGCGTGAGAGTTGTCCATGAACTATAACATACCCTGGGGTACTCTGCTGTGTCCTATGAATCGTGCTGGGTTCTTCCTTCCAATTTGCCATGGTGGTGCTGCTGGCCTTTCTGAAGCATGCGTGCGAAAAATGAATCCCCAGGATGGACCCTGTAAGCCCACTTGGGCACAAACTCTTGATTCTAGATGCACCGCTCGATGATGGCCTTTCAGACACGAGCGATCTTTGTTGCTGATTCCCATCTCGCTTCGATACTTCGATACTCGGAAGCATCCGGGTCTTTCGCTGTATCATGCTGTAATTCTACTGCGCGAGCAGGGATCAGCACCTTGCACACAGGGTGCTCGTTGCCTGCCACATGGACGTACGACGGAATCCGCTAGAAACCACAGCTCGTGGCAGCAGCGCGTGCAGCCTTTTTCATGGTTGTTGAGAACAGCCAGATCCGGTGAGCAATGCCACGAATTGCTGGAGTTTGCGCCACTATTTTAAGTTCCTGTAGTCCTGTCTTTGACTGTCTTCTAGTGATGAGATTTTCAGGAAGCAGCTGAAGTGGATGACGAGACGAATCAGGAGCTTCATTTTGAGCTGTCCACTTCTGCATTGCAGAATCTACAGGCGAAACAGAAAGTGCACTCGAGGAGACGCTTTGTCCCTCGCTGGAAAAGTACGAATCCGCTCCAGGAGACAGCAATGAGCTTCGACGTTGCAGACCAGCCGCCGTTGGAGCAGGTGCTCTTCTGCCGTCAATCTCCATGCGGGGCCGCTGGGGCCCTCAAAAATCGTGGATTCTTGTTTGCGCACTGAGGCTGCCCCTGAAGCATGTCCGGGTGAATTGACTGAGCCAGCGGTGGATCGGCTGCAGCAGGACGTGACATGTTGGGTTTCTCTAGAGGACAGCAATTGACTTGGTCTGATGCCGTGTGCTCCTAGATTTCTGAGCGTCGTCTACTGCGAAGTCGAATATTCAGGGCCCAAGACATAAGTACATCAGCGTAGACTTTTTTTCACGAGATATAGCTGCTGCAGTGGGCTCCGGTAACACAACATAATCAGCAGAACCTTTGTTTTCCCAATGTTGGCGTCTCATTGGCTCAGCCGTACCACACAGGCATTGTCTAATCCCCGCCCGAACTTTCCCTTTGCATACCGAAAACTTTACAGGCTGGCAAATAGACCGCTCCGTCTGGAGTAAGTCTGTGGCTGTTGCCAACGTGCAAGAGGATCTTCCAAGCCTCTTGCTCGAAAATGTCTTTCTCACAGTAGGTTGATCGGTGTTGAAAGAGAGACTGGAAACCTTTGCATAGGGCATAGGGCCACCCGAAAAACAATTTGGTCAGCTGACATAGGAGAAGGCTGATGCTACGGAAGCGTCAGAAGCTTCTGCCCATCAGCCTGTGGCCAAAGATGAGCCACAAGATCACGAGGACCAACTCAGGTCAGTGCATGTGAGCATTTTGTGAGCCCATGAGTAGCGAGTTGTGGGCGAGTGGCTAGTGCACACATATTGGAGGAGTCCGCAGTTGTTTCCGTCGCGACGGCCAAAGAGACGCCGTTCGCAGAGCAAGACCCGTGCTCAGAAGAGGTTTTCACGACCTGTGCCAGTGTTTCAGTAGCTCCCGAAGCTTTGCCTTCGTAGTAAGGCTATGTTGGGATCAAATTCCGCTGCATCGCTAGCGGCCGAGCAGGATGGTTGCTGCTCTTGCCCGTTTCAGGTCGCACGAGCTAGACTTACAATGGCTCGCAGTTGCAGTTCTAGTTTGACAGCTGTTTGCAAACATGGAACATCCTGCTGGCTTTGGGTCCAGTGAACATGTCCCTTAGTTGAGCCTCCTTGTGCATGCTGTAAATGAGGAAAGGCTAGTGGTGATATTGCGGCGGGTAGTGATAGGCCGTGATGATGGCAGGGTCGCAGTTGCAAAGGTGTGTGGCAGCGCTGTTTGCCAAGCACAATCGCGACGTATTCTGAAAGCGGTTTGCCGTGAGCCGACAGCGCCAAACTCGGTGCAAGGCTCCTTCGTTTGGATGGGAAGCTCTTGAGTCCCAGCGTTAGTCCTAGCTGTGATGGCTAACCTTTGCTTCTTCATGCGCGACTTCGAAACTACTGTGTGCCCGCCCGGCGAAGCCCCGTCCACCTTTCGTACTTTTTCGGGTGGCTACAGAGCTAGCAGCTAGCAGAGCTGTCGGTTCTTTGTGAAGACAGGTTTGATTTTTGGGGCAGCAGTCTGTCCTTGGAGCTAGAAGTGTAGGCGATCAGTCATGGAGACTTTCTGTAGGTGTCCACCAAGTACATCGGTAGGTGTTGTTGAAGCCTTTGTTTTCTGCCGGCAGCTGCCATATGCTATTCTGTGCATGAGGAAACTCCCGAGACTTGAATGCCGCTCCTTTGTCAGAGGAGCCCGCAACGATATCTGACACGACGGCCAAAGACAAGCCGTCGCCAGAGCGAGACCAGAGCTCAGCGGAGATTGTCCGATTTTTGCAGGCGTAGGTGCCATCAGACTCAGTGCGTGTGCCGAATGCAGCAAGGCCGCAGAGGGAGCCGAAAATGCTGATTTACTCGGTGAGCTGATGGTGGATGAGCTTCCAGAGCAGGACGCGCACCCGACCTCGATTGTTTGTTTCACGAACATCATCGATCTGAATTGGCGACCCTTAGAGACAGGGTTGTCGGCTGCTTCTGGGAGGAAGGGTTCGGAAGAACGTAGTTTTCACTTTCTCAAGTGGCACCTTGCACGCAGTCAGCCAGGTGCAGGAATCAATTTGTTTTTTGAAGAAATAAGGCTCTGGCATTTAGATTTAGATACCTGGAAGGCATTCTTACATCAACCTACTAGAACCGTAATCAGTGACAGAATTTGCAAAAAGAAGGCCTGGTAGGTCCGACCCGCAAGTAGCCACGTTTTCCCTGTCGAAGCACACTCTCCCCATTCTAGGCGTGTTGATGCTGCAAACATAGGAAGCTCTTGTTCTTGTGGCTTTGTGGAGCCGTGTTGGAGGTGACCTTGGCTAAAGACACGTCGACATGGAGACCTTCTTTCTGGCCTCTGTCCTGGAAATTGAGTCTACTTGCCGAGGAGTCCGCAACGATATCTGACACGACGGCCAAAGACAAGCCGTCGCCAGAGCGAGACCAGAGCTCAGCGGAGATTGTCCGATTTTTGCAGGCGTAGGTGCCATCAGACTCAGTGCGTGTGCCGAATGCAGCAAGGCCGCAGAGGGAGCCGAAAATGCTGATTTACTCGGTGAGCTGATGGTGGATGAGCTTCCAGAGCAGGACGCGCACCCGACCTCGATTGTTTGTTTCACGAACATCATCGATCTGAATTGGCGACCCTTAGAGACAGGGTTGTCGGCTGCTTCTGGGAGGAAGGGTTCGGGGTCGGGCTGTGGAAAAGGAACTTGTCTCAGCAATGCTATCGAGCGCATCAAGAGTGAGCATGACGTCTGAAACTCCCAAGCTTGCTGTTCAGTGCGCGATTGCGACAGCTATTATGGTCTTCGTTATAAATATTTTCCCTTCTGTCTGTTTTGGAAACCGAATCTGTGGTCGCCGGACAGCTGGGACGACCAACACGTCTCCCAGCTAAGACAGAGTTGCTTAAGGCAGGCTGCGGCACAGGCATCCCCTCCACGTTCTGTTTCTGCCTCAAAACTCGATACGCGCTCCCACAGAGTTGGGACCCGATGTGTGACCCGAGCGTTTGGGGTGGGGAGTCGAAACTGGAATGGGTCCGGTGATCGGATGCTCATACTTCCCCAATGGTGCTTGGCGCTTGCGCAATAGTGTGTAAGAGTAAGTTGTAGATGCAGGATGTGTTTGCGAAAATTGAGATTTACGAGCACACATCATGCGGGGAGGGAAGACAAATAAGAACCCTTTCGCGAAGCATGCTGTGCAGCTGACATAGGAGACTGCTGATGCTACAGAAGCTGCAGAAGCTTCTGCTGTGGCCGGAGATGGGCCAGAAGATCACGAGGACCAACTCGTTGGCTACATGCATTGTGATTCAAAGCCTGTCATGAGCTATTGAAGGAGATTGCTGATTTTACGGAAGCTGCAGAAGTCTCTGCCGTGGCCAAAGATGTACCACAAAATCACGAGGCCTAACTCAGTGTCTGCATGTATTCTGAGTCAAAGCATGTTATGAGCTACGTTAGGAGACTTCCGATGCTACGGAAGCTGTAAAAGCATCTGCTGTGGCCAAAGATGAGCCGCAAGATCACGAGGACTAACTCAGTGCCTGCATGTATTCTGAGTCAAAGCATGTCATGAGGTATGCTGCCCCCTTTTACCGTCCGATGAGTGGCGGCTTGCCACACCTGCTGGAGGAGTCTGCAGTCGCTTCTGTCACGGCCAAAGAGACGCCGTCCGCAGAACAAGACCTGCTCTCAGCAGAGTTTTCAACGACTTGTGCCGGTGGTTCAGTAGCTCCCGAAGCTTTGCCTCTGTGGCAGGGATCAAATCACTCTGCACTCGCCGAGCTGTGGTCTGAGCAGGAGACATGCCCAGTCCGCAATCTTGGTAGCGAACGCACTTTGGGACTCAGCAAGCGGATCTCTTTGTTGTCTTCGTAAATTCCAGCAAGAGTTCAGGATGTTGTTGCTTTTGCCGACATCGGTTTCGCAAGGGGAGCTGTATGGAAGTGAAGTGAAGCCAAACAATGACACTTAGTGGCCACATGCAGCGGCAACGAATTGGGCCTGTGGTGCTCTGAAATGTAGCGTTGAATTGATCCTCGCCACTCTCTGTATGCTTGGAAGTGACGTTGCTTCCAGTGGCACAGGACACTGCAATGTTTTCGGCGGAAGGGGTGGCCAAAGATGCACGACCTTATGGTGAGGACTGTCCATGTTGCCGTACTAGTTGAGTCTGCTGGTGTGTAAGGTTGCGTGTTTTGATGTTGTAAAGGACGGTTTGTAGAATTCCGGGGTGTGGAAGCTGCAGCACGCCGCAGTTGTTCGTAGATGCCTTATGAGACCGTATGCTGTGGTGTGACAACTGCAGTGTTGTTCGGGTGTATGCGCGGCTTGGGAGTCTGACGCCAGCTGAAAGGTTTGTAGACTGTAGATGTCACAGCATTCACGAACATCAAGATCTTCACGATTTCGGGGATGGCAGTGTTCTGCAGTGCAGGATGCTAGCAGCGAGGTTGCCGAACACCTGAAGGGCAAGGATCGCAAGGAGGCCGAGCTCAGGGACTGACTTGGCCATGGTGCCTTTGCATGTTGCGGCGCCACGAAAACCTTGGATTTGAAGGCAGGGCATGTTGTCACCAAACAGGAGTTTGTGTCGTTGAACCGAAAGAGCGTGTGGAGTTTGTGCAGTTTACAGACTGAGACGGCTCCGGCGGCTTGCAAGCCGCCCCCGCCACCCTCGAGGACTTCGGCAGAGGCAGAGTCCGGCTGCAACCCACATGTTGGGAAGGCAGCAGCAGTGCCTGAGAACATGTCCCCCTTTCATGTACGTAGCGCAGAAGTGGGTGTGAGCCGGTTTGAGAAGGGAATGCTTTGGATGGGCTCAAATCGAATATATTCCACCTGTAGCAGAGCAGCAGCCAGCCCACCATGCAGCAGCAGCACGGCTCTCAGTGACATTTGCACACGGGAATTGCGCCTGAGTCTGCCTCGCACATTCTTGCTCTCACACCAGCATCATGTATCCCATCCATATCTCGCGCATGCCCTAGATTGATCGTTCGGAACGGCTGTACGTTGCAGCCTGGACCAGGACCCTTGCAATGTTGTCTCTGCGCTCTCGCCATCAGGAAAGCATGGCTTCGAGAGTTCAACGTGCTGGGCTACTGCTTGAGACCCCAGGCGCCGTCCAAAATCATGTGTCGGTGATTCAGATTCATGTCTGTTGGTCAGCTCATGCAGAGGCTGCAAAACTCATCGGATCCTTTCTGGAAACGTGTTGCACGCTCAGTGCATGGCCGATTTGTGTAGTAGTGCGTGCTCAGATTGACCGAACGAGTTCTGTTGTGTTGTCCGAAAGGATGTGTGAACATATGCAATTCCATTCTTGACATGTCGGCCCTAAAATTTCGTCCCGTCAGTGCTATTGATTCCAGGCCCGGAGCCTGAGCGGGCGGTCGAAGACGTCATCACGCGAACAAAGGTCTCGGATGGTGTTTGTGTGAACACCTGTTAACCAAGTTTCAGTTTGCAAAGCTGCCAGTTTGGAAGTCTTCGCCACTTTACATGTCTGTTGACCATCAGCCTACCAAAGTCTCTTGCAGCAGAAATGTCAACAGCTGCTTGATTGATGACTCCATGCTACAAATCAAAACCATCATGGCATGCATGTCCTGCGTGAGACTTCGACCACAACCAACTCTGCAAATGACATTCAGCTGGGTTTCTCATGTTCTGAACTCAGTGTGTCACAGCTGGTTCTGGACGCGAGTCGGGTTGTTTGATTTACCGACTCTCTTCATGAGCACTGATGTCTCTCTAGTAGCAACCTGCTAGAGCTTCGCACTGTCAGATATTCAATGGTGCAGTGGGGCTGTATGCCCCACAGACATGCCCAACGAAGAGGGATTCTGTGAGGACTCTTCAACTCAGATGCCTGCAGAAGTTTGAGCCAGCTATTGCGAAATTGCGAAGTATGTAGATTTGATTTTTGCAACAGAGTTTTCGCTTTGACATGGTTGATGGTTGACCCGAAAGGGTTGAAACATGGTTCACAACTAGTTGCAATGGCTACCTTTGTGCCAGCGCAGGAAAGTTGACACTCGGGGCAGGTTGCACGAGCCTGTGTGTGCAACTACCCAAGCTGTAGCATGTTGAAATCATCCAGTACTAGTGAGTTCGCGTCCTGTTGGGATTGATAGCTTGATAGACAGAACCGGGCAAGTGAAAGCACTTACATGTGCAGAAGGCGCGGCTGCACGAGCTCAGCGACGCTGCTTTCACTCCGATCATTGACGAGGAGCTTGTCAAAGCAGTGTGGCGCCCAGGAAGTGTGCACGCGGATCTGACCAACTGAGAGCGCGCAAGCGTGAGATGTGGAATGCGAGAGACTAGACAGCAACAGCGACATTTCGACGCCTCTCCAATTGATCACGCATGCGTGTGCCCACAGCGTTCCTTGAGTTTGTTTCGATGCGGTGCAGATAGCTGGCAGTGGCCGTACTTGGCTGTGAATGAAGAGATTTGCTTGTCTCGTGTGCAAGCCCCATCAAGTTCTCAATTTCCCTTTCTCCTGGTTTTGTGCTGACCATGTTATCGGCAGGTTCTCGATGACTTGGTTGAGGCAGGCAGCCTTTCGCTGACAGGATGGGCGAAGTTGCGATGTTGGATGGTGTTGGATGCCTGCATGACCGATTCTGGGTTCTTCGCCTCGACGAGTCCGGCACAGGCACGCCCTGGGGAGGAGGCCGATGAGGTGGAACGGCTGTGTTAGTTCAGACAGCATGTCATCATGCAGTTGGAAGTAGATATGCACGTCTGCATCTTAGCGAAGGAACGTGACAGAAGCTTGTCATGCGTCGTCAGGCCATCAAGCTTTGATCCATCAAATCAAGCCGCCATGTGCATCAAGTCAAGCCCGAACAGACCAAGAATTTGGCCTCTTTGCGCCACCAAAGCTCGGAGCAAAGTATTTGCACTCAAGTGCCATGTCATGCGCCGTCATGTGGAATTGAGCGATGCACCTCAGCGAGTCGGACATCCACACTTTCCGGAATGCTTTCCTGCAGCCCAAGGCTGGGCCTGGATATGCCTGGACTGCTTTTCATGTCCCTGATGTCCTCAATTGGCTCGGACTTCTTGCAAGGATTGGGGTGCGGGCGAGCGACCGTACTCCCATGCCGCACAACTTGGTGCAAAGGTTGCAACGATAGTTAAATCGTGCTGCTCGCGAGATTCATCATCGTTTGTTGCAGGGTTCGTCGAGCGGCTTGCATGTCCGGCTACTGCGCTGCTACAAACACTACCTTCTATCACTTACATTTGCCTTCATACATCTCGGCTGGCCGCAGCTGATTGCTTTGCAGGCAGCTGTCCAAGCAATCTGCGAGGTGCGGCCGATTCCTGCTGGTACAACGGGTAGAGTTTTGATCTGATGGGAATGGCTCACGGTTATTTGCAGGCTGCATGCGGACTTCGAGCGACTGCAGATCCTGGCCGCCAGAGTTTTCGTGGCTTTGCAGGCTGGGCCGAGGTTGCTAGCAACACGAGACATGACTTATTGTCGTTTTCGCTGTGTTACATAGAATCAGAAAGGGTTTTGGTGGTCCAAAAAGTTTGCTGATGACACTAATGACTGGTGTCTGGAGCCTTTTTCGTCCAGGGATATCTGCAGGCAAGGCGGGTTGTGCACACGAGTTGTTGTGCTTTTAAGGCGGCTGTCTGCTGGCAATTTAACGGTGACCTCGTGTCACGTGTCGACGTACGAGTCCAAGGTAGCAGTCAAACGAAGACCACTTTAGCAGAGCCCGACAATTCTGCCAAGAACTCGGTAAAAATGTTCTACCCTGGAGCAACTTAGCTCCGAGAGCCGGTTCGATTCAACGCTAATGTCATCCAGGACCAGTCGAGTCCGTAGTCGTCGTGCTGTAATTCCTCGGACTGCTCGATGGCAGTCTTCCCCCCCTTTCGGGGGGAAGTTAAAGATGCCTTGCGTGCGCCCTCTGGCTGAGACTACAGAACCAACCCGGCAATTTGGCTCAACACCCGCGTAAATTACGATCCTGCACCAGTGTAGCCGACTGTCAGCGGTGAACGCAGGGTCGTTTTCTGGCTTAAAGGCTTGCCTTGTACCAGCATGGTGTTGGCACATCTTTTATGCACGGTTGGTTCTTCCTCAACGTCATGGCCTAGAGCCTTCCGGACCCTTGACAGCTTGGTTAACATGCGGAGAAAAGCATCCAACCTTCGAATGCCGTCGCTGAGTGACAGTCAAAGAAACATGTTTGAGCTGCGCAATAGCAAGTCTTCATCAAGATCTGTCTCCAGTTGCACAGCAACGACTAGGAGGCACCTTCGTGTAGAGAGGCTTTGACACATGGATGGGTGAGCTGACTCATTCGGATTTGGAAGAGTTTGCCACTCTTTGGTTTCCCATCCACAGCTTTGCATTTCTCCTCATCGCATTCAGATGGGTTCAGCCTTGGCGATCGACTCTCTGATTCCTCCCGAGTCTTTGGGGATCTCATTCCCTGCTGCCCGGCGTGGCTGCAGCTTCCTCCTTGGTGCACCAACTTTTGCAGAACCGTACTGTCTGGTTTCCTATTGGTGGTATCGTGTTCGGCGAAGGGCCCTGGCCGACAAGTCGCAGAGGAACGGTATTTTGGCATCTAGGCGACGGGCTTTCCAGCCCAGCGCTTCCATGTGGAAGGTGAAAGTGTCCAAAGCGCTCACCAAAGGTTGTTTGAGCTCGAAGCTACTTGCCTCGAGGAATGAGTTCTGGCACGCGTCGTGCAGCACAGGCTTAGGTTGTGAGACAACGCATGCAAATGGACTTTCTCTATCAAACTTGATTCGATATATAACCGCTTCCCTTCCAGTTCACAACACAGCATACAAGGAGCACTGCATCACTCACGCTTACCAGCATCAGCTCGCATTTGCAATGCACTGCTGCACCTTCCGTCCCCTAGCTTTCGTCCGCTCTGCTTTCAGGTCCGGCCGGACAACCGCACCCACCCATGCTCCCAACAGTCTTAGCGCTTGATTTGACAGGGTCTCAACGGCTGTGTGGGTTCTCCGAGCTCGCGGCAGGCGCGGGCTTACGAGTCCTTGGCTTGATCACAAAAGTTTTTGTCCGACACCGTGAATGGTTTCGTGCGATATGTTGCCAGCTCTTTGGCCCTTGAAGATGCACGAAGCCAGGCATCACACCGCTGCCGTGGGTCTGCCCGGCGTCTGGAGACGGCAGTCGCGGCGGTGCCGGAAGCAACACTGTGAAGTGGTACGAACTGTGTATTAGTGTTTTGCCAGAGCATACTTGTTGGAGCAGTTTGGTCGTTGAAAATCATCTGTATGATTCTGTATGCATCCACCTCTCCACCAAAAATGGAGGGTTCGTGAAATTTTCGCGATCGGGCAGGCTCTTGCATTTCCCCTTCAGGTTGATGCCTCAACGTTGGGAGATTTCGTGGATGCACCCTTCATTCCGTCCCGCAGGAGGAACATGACAGGCACTCGGTCTTATCTTGCCTAGCTGATGCTAGCGATCTGTATGCAGGCCTGCTTTCCGTGCTGAGCGGAATGGCTACTTTTACTCTTCCTGTGCTTGATGTTCTGTCTTCGTAAAGTGTTTCTTGGTGGCTCTCCTTGGACAGAAGCAAAAGAAACTTATTCTGGGTTGTGATTCACCAACATATGATTCTCTCTGGAATCTGCCCGCCACCATCGGTACTTGTTGGTGACTAGCATTGTTTTCGAGTTGAAGCTTTGCCATGACCCCCTCTGTTGTGTTGGGTTTGGGTTTGGCTCGGGGGTTTGTTCTTGTTCCGTTTAGGGTGCTGGGTCACTCCGTTCGTTAGGTTCGGCCTGCCCCACTGCAGTACTTGTTTTGAGGCTTGGAGTTTGCCACTGCTAAGCGGCTAGCGTCTAGGCACTGGGCTCGTGGCCCCATTTCAATCGTTTTGCAGTGTAAGATTTGCAACTCGACTCCGCTTGCAGGGCTTCAGCTTACCGTGACGCCTCATGTGCATTGTGTATGGCAGCTCTTGCTTGCTATGCTGTACTCCCTGCAAGGGTTTGCAGTAAGGCTCTTTCAGGGCTTGCTTCCTGTTTGGGGCTTGCTACCCATAGTCTTGTGGGCCGACCCCCCGAATTCCCCTTGAAGCCAAGGTCGGCTTTCCTACCCGGGGCTCCTTTGGAATTTCAAGTTTGTCCACCAACGTTTCGTTTGGGTTTGCTAGTTGGCATAGGCCAAAAGGCTTCTGCCCATCGCTCCTTTGTGGGTTTTCCCGTCGTCTGGTCCTCAAGGTGGGTTTCAGGGTTTGCGACTTGTTTGCCACCTTTTCTTGTGAGAGGCTGAGTCTTTCTTTGCCCCTGATCTGTTTTTCGGGTGTTTTGCCACCATCATGCCGTTGTCTGGGTTTGTCAGGCCGTGTGGTCACGACCGATTTCATTCACGGCTTGCCCCACCGTGAAACCTTTGCTAGGGTTGTAGAGCCTCCTACGCATTGCCGGTTTCATGATTTAGGGCTTGTCTGCCGTCATTCCTCGTGGGGTTTACATCTTGCTGCCTACTTGTCATAGGTTCAGCTACCCATCACCTATCGCTCCACTGTTGGGTTTTTAGCATCCCTTAATGTCAGGGTTGTAAAGACCGATCTCAGGGTTTAGGGTTTTGTGCCATCATTCTTACTAGACTTTAGCTTCCCCTCATAGGTTCAGAAGGAAGTTTCAAGGCCCTGCCAAAGCCGATTCAAACAAACCTGCTGGAAACATGCAATTCAACTAAGACAAGTTACCCGCAACTAGGTGCGCAAGTCGGTGCAGCCGGAAGATTCAGGCGTCTGCTCAGCGCCGGATGTGTTCCGGTTTCAGCTTCGTGCATGTGGTCAGGAGACAGTCGAGAAAGTAGTTTCAAGATGTATGCGCAAGATGTAGGTGCTGACGATTTCATCTGGGGCACAGCATTGTACAACTGGGAAGTTCTGGCCAGATATATGATATATCCTGTCTGATTCCGTGAAGTTAGTCAAGACTGTGTGTGCGAGCTTGTGGTCGGATTTTGCTGTTGCATCTTCACCTCTTACCACAATGGCAGGTGACCTTGAAGAGGTCTGGACGGGTCTTGGGAGCTTCCTGACAATTCGCCGATGGCAGCGATCCCGACATTACTTAGGCTAAGGATCAGCTTTTCTTGCCTCAAGGCTTTGCCTCTGAACTTCATGGTCACGTTGTTAACCACCGGTTGCATTCTAGACGCAGGATGACACAGGGGCCGTGGTAATGATTTGTCAATCGCCCGGCTATGCGATCAGAGGGCAGTGCGCTCCAGGATGAACAAGTTGAGTATCTAAGTGCAAACGCGAGTTTCCTACCGCCCAGCCTAGACCTGGAAAAGAGGATTGGGGCACGACAACCATACTCAAGAAAGCCTTTTAGACCGACGATCGCAGGATGACGTTTGGATTTCATAGATGCCTTTTGTAACTCGCATGAACGGTTGGACTGGTAAAGCAAAGGTGGAGTGGAGCTGATCCCAGGCACTGGGCTGCCGCTGCTGCGGCAGCAAACGTCACCCGTGGCGCTTCATCCTGAGTCAAGCGGGAAATGGAGCTGTAGACGTCGACGTCGGGCTTTTCAAAGCCTTCTCTGTGTGTTGCTGTATTGGCTCATTGCCTTAAGACAGGGAAGACGCAAAATGCACACACCAGACCGACAACTCTGTCACCTAGTAGACGAACCAGCTGTGAGACTCAACAGTACCAACACATCCGCGCTTGAACTTGCCGGCATGCCAACTGCCGCAGTGAATGGGATTGACCTGTACTACGAGCCTCTGACCTGTAAAGCAGGCATGGACTGCACAGTTTTTTAGTGCAGCTTCACCAACATGCTACACGCTATGGGCTCCACAAGGAAGACAGCGATCCAGGAAGGAACGGAGGGCCAGTGGCGATATTTCTCCATGGAGCAGGTGGAAATACAGTGAGCACCTCAAGCCCATAGTCCAGAATCACCACTGCTACATTGCACCCGTTCTGTTTCTCCGAGACTGTCCATGAAAGTCAGAAGTTGGCAAGGTGTGTTGGTGGCAGCAAGTCCCGGCTTTCAGCCTCTGTCTCAGGCTTTCATGAGGCTGGGACATTCGACTTGTCTTTGCCAAGCTAAGGGTCCATGCTGCGATGCGTGGCTTATGACATACGGGGATATGGTCGATCGCCCAATCCCACCGGCGACAGCATGGCCTTCTTGATCGCCGACTTAGAGCCTTGCCTTCAGCAACTTTTCATGCTTCATCGGCTTCATCGGTTTGCGGGTTCGGCTTCTCGCCGGCAGGAAGCTCTGGTGCAACATCTTGGTCTGCAGCGTGTTGTCCTCATTGCACAATCCATGGGCGGGCGAGCCGCGCTGGGATTTGCAACACGCTGCCTGATTGAGATTTTGTCAATTTGTTTGGTTATTAGTGAGCCTCATTGTTAGCCAGATGTCGCTTGTAGAGGTTCGAGGGCGGGCACCCTGCAGCTGTTTGGGCATGCTATGTGTGTGCGCTTTGCAGCTGTGAGGTCGTCAAGACCACGTTCTTGCCCTCGTAATGGCAGACTGCTGGGGGAGCTTTGACTGGCCTGAGCAGTGGGAGAGGGCGAAGATGTGCGTAATCCCAGAAGGACGATCTGGCCGATGTTGGGCCCATGACACCTTTGTTGATCAACTCGTGCTAAAGTCGTCCAGGTCAATCCAGTGAATGTAAACGTTTGCTGTTTCGAGTGAAGCCTGTATGTAGGGTTCTCGGGGCTGGACGGGCATCTAGTTGAAGAGTTGCTTCAAACTCAGTTCGATTTCTATTCTTCTCGGTCGTTCTCGGAGAACATCCCACACTGCCAAATTCTCCAAGAGTCCGCTGTGGCATGTAGATTCAGGCTTGGGCGAATTCGGAAGCATAATGTTGACAGTGCAGTTCTAGCATGTGTCCATGAGCAGCAAGCCGGTCGTGACATGGGGAATGCAAGGGTTCGCAGGGCTAAACTTGGTAAACATGGCCATGCAAGCTGGCCAGAGGACATCCTCGAGCAGTTGCACGGAACTTTCCGCAGGACTGGCATATGCTAGACAGTCTGTATTGAACAGTAGTGCAAACAAAAGCAAGTGCGGCAAAGCACAGATTCTAAATCTGTTGAGCTTGCACAGCCAGCACTTGGCTGATACTCCTGGCCCCAGGAGTGGCCGGAGTTGTACTACCTCTTGCGGTCAATTGGGTCACTCAATCCTCCACGGCCGCAGCTGGAAGGACCCACTCCAGGCCAGCGCATGCCAGCGCGAGACGTGACCTCCCCCTTTTGCATGGGCCTCTTCCTTGTAGCAGGAGGCCCAAGTGTGACGGAGGTGCGGCGCCTCCAGCTGCCCGTGCTATGTATCGTGGCTTAGCAGCACGGTGTTTGAATTGCGCCCTTTGTTTTTTGGCGCACATAGCGACGGGATCGACAGATATGTTGCATAAGCGCAACCAAGAGTCAAGCTGGGCAGACCGGTATCTGTACAAATGCGTGCCACTGCGTGGATTCCTGTTGTCCCTCTTTGGCCTTTCCGCTTCTGTAAGTCGAGCTCATATGCAGAGGTTGGTGCAGACGACGTCATCTTCCCGCCTTCCCAGATTCGCGCTTTTGCCGAACTCCTACCAGACTCAGAGCTTTGCAAGCAGAGCTGCGCATGCCAAGGCATGTGTGCAGGACTACTTGCCTGCTGATCAGGAGTTCGTGGAGGTGGATGGTGCAGGTCATTCAGTGTACTTTGAAAAGGCCTCCCGTCCGCAACAGTCGGATGCACTGTTCCATTGTTATTCGGATGATTTTGCTGCTTCGCAGCGGCATAGGTTAAATCTCTACTCGAAGTCTAAGGACTACAAGCAAGGTTCATATCGCATCCTCTTATTGGCAGTTCTTGCGACTTAGTCAGGCCGGTACCTTCAACGAGCTCGTGCTGCAGTTCCTGCAGAAGCACATTGCCGAATTATCCAGCTAGACAGAGCGGAAGGCGTCGCACTGATTGAGTCTTGCCGACGACAGAGCTTTTTCTTCCTGGTGAGTGGGGTCCGTCAAACACAATGAGCCTTGGCGCCCCATCGTCCTCCTCGTTCTCCTCGTGCTCCACTTCGTCGTCCGCATCCTTCTAATGCCAACGGGGTCTCTACTCTGCTGCCCTTAGAGCTCGTTGCGGTTTCTGCATCCAACACGAGAGCTTTCGAGGTTGTCCAAGCGGGTGGAAAAGGTCTCTGAGGGTCTCGGAGCTCGGGCCCCCAGAGCGAGAACGAAGCTTCAGCCCATCAACTCACATGCCGTGCTCGCCGTGCTCTCGCATCAAAAGATGCAACAGCTCCTTTTCCAACTGTGGAACACTTGCGCCATTTGCAGCGACGTGGAAGAATTAATTGACAATGAACCAAGATCGGTTCCTGGAGCCTCCCTACCCCTTCGGGCAACATGTGTGACCGGCCGGGACACACAAGTGAATCAAGATGTGGTCGACTTGTTGCTGTACCGTGGTAGTGGTGTCCACCCGACAGCCTCAGCAGCAAAAAGCCGCCCATCCGACTGGTCCCGATCTTTCAGGGAGCTTCAAAGGAACCTGAAAAGACAAAGCTACACCTATCAGCAGTGAGGCTCCTGGAGGAGCCTACGGCCTAGTCACCTAGTCAGCAATCAACGCCAGTCAACAAAGGAGCCTGCAACAGATCTCTCAGCTGCCCTTCTGCCGCGCCTCGCTGCCGCCTTTGGAGATGTCACATAACGAGAGCGGGATGACCAACAAGGCATGCATGGATTCAGATTGATTTCATTTCGCGTGTGGTTGTCGTGGTCCATGGCTTGGCTTTTCCTTCCGAGGCGGCCCTGGTGCTATATGGCAGAGCGACAGAGGCAATTCAATCACAGATCTCACTGTGACAGTGGGCCTTTGCCATGGCCAGCATGTCGCGGAGCACGAAGGCGACCACCCAAGCGATTGCCAGTGCCCGCGGAGAATGGAGTGTTTCGCATTCCTTCAACGACAATGAAGCGAAGAGAAAGAACATGTCAGAAACACGTCGTTTATCGTCGGTTGTTGCAATGGAGAAGCTTTTGGCATGGGCGTTGACAGGCGATGCACACTTGTCTTGATGTTTCGATGCCTCGGCTTCGAGGCCCGCAGCATCACGTTGGCATTCGCCGCGGCCTTGGAGCTTTGTCACGGCCTGGCCCGTCGCCTGGAGCTTTTCAGGCCCGGCGAGGGGAGAATAGGCTCAGCTCAGGGGTGTGAATTACGTGGGGTGGACCACCAATAAGAATCCTCCTTTAGTGGCAGTCCTCGAAACGACTCCGACGATGTTTGGTATACTTTTGCGGCTAGCTATGCAGGAAGCCTGTCGTCGTCACCGTCGTGTTGATTGTGCTGGTCGAGTTCCAACCAAATTCCCGCGTGATGACTCTCACTCAGCGTGTAGTGTAGTGAGTCAAACTTACGATGAGGTTGCGCAACTTTCCAGGTGGCACTTGTCTTACTTCCTGGTGGCCCAGCTGTTGCCAGACATGCCTGTCGAGGCTTCGAATGTTCGCAAATTCCAGCACACAAGCTTCACATGTGCCCTAGGTGTACGATGTTCCTTGTTCAGAGCTATGGAGGTGCAATTCCACGACTATTGCTGTAGTAGCAGGGGGGCCTGGACTGCTTGAAACTCAGCTAGTTGCAAGATTTTCTCCAGTTGCAGTTCAAGAGTCGTTGCTGCTACACGGTTTCGTGAAAGCAGACTCGCTTGGTTTTCGGTAGGCCAACTCTAGCAGGCTGAGTCGTGTGCAGACGTTTTTGCAGGTGGCGAAGTGATTGCGAGCATTGTCCGGCAAAGCGGTTTTACCAGCGACAACATCACATTGGCAGAGGTGCCCTGTGCTCTTAGCTGCGGATTTGCTCCAGTTCGCTTTCTGGCAAGGCAGTTCGTGTTGAGAAGCGTCAGTTCGCTTTCAAGCTGATGGAAGAGAGCGTTTTGTTCGCAGGTTGGGGTTGAGACCGGCGAGACCTCGGCTGAATTGCTAGCGCTTCTGCACCTCGCCGAAACAAGGGATCACACCCAAAAGTGGGAGTATTCCACTGGCATGACCGTTACTTGCAAGGCCGGAGCGAGTGCGGCTGGTCGGAGTAGATCCCTTCAATTACCAGGTCACCGCCAGTGCCTCAGGTCAGATCCCTGACTGGCGGCAGATCCTTCCATCAGAGCGTGCCACCCTCCTATAGACATGAGGCTGCGCAGCTGACGGGTCTTGAGAAGGCGCGACGGCGAGATCGTTTTCGGAAAACCGAATGCTTGTGGTTTGGGGTTTGGAGGGCCTGGCCTTGGCCAAACTCCGGAGATCTCCGGAGCAGAGCTTAGGAGTCCGGGGAAGCTCACAGCTGTATGCTACGCGCAGCGATGCGCAGCTACAATGTTCAGCAGTTTTGGCGGCCCTGTCATGTCACCTCAAACCACTAGACCCGGGTCCGCACTTTCCATCTGAGCTGGAGCGGTAAAGACAACTACCCCAGAGGACTCCAACCTGAGACCTCGTCACTTGTGAAAGTGTCCGCCCTTCCGGGAGTCGAAAGAGCCTGACACATCACCTCAGCTGTTTCTGGCCAGGAGCAGAGAGAGTTGCTGTCCTTGCGCTACAAGCAGTGGTGGTTGCGAGGTGCTGGGACTGAACGATACCAGGGAGTTGATTATCCAGCCCAACTGTGCACACGCGCTTTGATTGGTCTAGATGATCGTTTAAAGCCTTAAGGGACCGCTCATTGCTGCTACCCTTGGTTGCTGCTCAGGGCTTCATTCACACCGGAGGCCGTCATCGTCATATAGCTCGTGATGCAAACTATCGGGGATGTGTCGTTTGCGCCGTGACACAGAAGATCTATGGCCTGTACTTGAAAATCTTGGGCATGATGCTGACAATGAGAACACACCGCCCTAACTCGGCAGGGTATCTCAGCATTTTGTAAAATCCGGGATGGCGCTTGCTGAGACCCCAGTCGGAACATACTGGGGAAATCGCAGGGCCGGCACAAGGATGCACGTGCTGGTCAGGCATATGACCGCCACCGTAATTGAAGGAAGCCTGGCAACACGTGCGAGCGCTGAGACTTCTCATGCATTGCGTGCGGAAACACGTGTCCGTGCGCAGGTATCGAGGCTGCAGCTGAGGCTCCGGGTGGGACAGGGAGAGCAGCTGCCAGTCGTGACAGGGACCAAGACCAGTTCTGGCGTTAGGGAGTATTCCCTGAGCAGTCGCAACATAAGAAAGAATCGAGAGAGGAAGACGGAGATCGTGCAGAAAAAACAGTGAGTTTGACATGGACACTCTGAGACTCTATAAGTCAGTGGTCTGTCGTAGGGTTGTTCATGAGGAAGGAGGGAAGGTCCACACACTGGCATGCCTCGGTTTATATTGATCGTAGAGAAGTTGGTTCGCTCGAGCACAACAGCATGGCCTTTGCCGGCCAGAAGCATGAAGGGCAGCCGGCGCATTGGCTTCATGACTCTAAAAGCAGCAGACACTTCTTGGTTGCAGGCAGTTTACAGCGCCGCCCCTGAACGGGCTGAGCTGCGAAAGACAACTTCTGCCGAGGAGCCTCTTTGCAACGACCAAACTTGCAAGATGTGCAAGTGCATCCAGTTCAGGCGGGCGAGCGCTTCATCGAGGGTGCAGACCTGGTCTTTCTGGATGCCGACCACTCTTCGGTGCCTTTGTGGAGAGCTTGTCGCATGAGTGGTGCTGTTGCGGCAACTGCCGGAATGCTTTGTGACGTTTGTTTTGTTGACTGGCTGACGGCCGGGTGGCATGTCTGGATTTTGAAACATCGTGTTCGTCCGCTTGGCATGTGAAGTCGAAACTTCCTCAAGCCAGAACCCCAACCAAGTCTGTTTACAGAAGCTGAGATCAGGTCGCAGTGGCTCGAGACATCGAAGTCTGGTTGAGGCATGTCCGTTGCTCCTCACTGCCCTGATCCCGAAAATCCGTCCCCGAGATTTCCAGAGAAGGTCTCCCCCCTCCTGGGAATGTTTGAGGCTAAGCTTTGCCGGGTCGAAATTTGAGAAGTGAGCTATCTGGTTTAAAGGCAACAGTGAGGTACTTTGCTTCAGCATCCCTGCCGGACTTTTCACGGAGTGCACTTCAATTCGCCGAAGCCTGTGGCTGCTTTTCGTCTTTGCGACCCTCATAGCTTCTCCATCTTCTTGTGGCCTTGGGACAGGGTGTTGGTAGCCAGACCTGGTGTGGGCCGGCGCGTGCTGGCAGGGCACGACTTCACTCTCATGCCCGGTGCCTCAGCTCCGAGCTTCCCCGGTGTGGGCCCCTGTTTGGTTGTGGACTGCAGAGCCCTGCAGCCCTCCTCGGCAGCCATTTTGGAAGTTTTTGTCGACTGCTCCTTTGCCATGCCCGGCCGAAGCAGTCGCCGTGGGCTGCGTGCAGCTGCGCTTAGTGCGTCCAGGTCGCACGCAGTGATGTATAGTGGTGAAGTTTGAGGCTTAGGCACGTTTCCCAAGATTTGCAACAGCTACAAGGCTCGCCTGGTGGCTGAATGCTAAAGCTGTTGAACTCTCTAGAAACAACTGCCTAGGAACGGTAGAACTGATGCCCTCAAAATCCCTCTGCATCGGTCAAGAAGCCACAGGACGCGTACGATTGTCCCTTGCACCTGATGAAGGCTGCCATCAGTTTCGCTTGACCTCCCGCTAAGGTGGCTATCATCGCTGCTCTCGTGGCATTGCGCTCGCCGATACTTTCAGAACGTTATAAACTGTCAGTGTGTAACATTGCAGAGCACTCTGTGTGAGCGTGTGTGTGTGTGCGCTGGGGTTTTACATGCTCTGTCACCTGCTTCAGCCAGTTGCACCTAAGGACCACCGGGTTCTGGAGCAAAGAGGAAACAAAGCAGCAGCCACTCGACTACCGAGCAGGCTGCAGATTGAGGTTGAGAATACATGCGCGACATTTCTGAAGTCCGTGTCGCCTCGCCGCCGAGCTAAGGGCAGAAAAGACGGTGAAGGCCGCCTCTTGTCCCAGTGCCAGCATGAACTTTACAGAGTCTGCTTTCCTATACACCGCCAGGTGTGGAAGCAGCCCCACAGCATCCGCAGCGCTGCAGCAGTAGCCTTGTCTTTTAGCGGCGGACCTGAAGGTGGGTGAGTCCACTTCAGCACCTCTTGGAATGTGTCGGACTCTGCACAGCCCAGGAATCGCCGGAAGCAAGCTTTCGATTGACACGGTCTCGCAGGGTGCCCTGCAGTGGCAAGTCAGGCCGGCAGAAGACATACAGTCCAGGAGGGAGCATGCAAACTGACAACATGTTGGGCTATCGGACCTATTCGGACCTTGTCCCGCTAAGCGAATTGCTGGGTCACCGCTCAACTCAACATGAGGTCTGCAGGAAATCATCCCAAGCTCACAGGTATCGTAATGGAGACTCAACTGTGTGCGCTTGCGAGCGCGACGGTGCAAACGCCACAGCAGCGAATAAAGTGTGCTGGGGGTGTGGCTACAAGCGGCTAGTTAGCATGAGAATTTGACCAATCCACGCATGCCAGTATGCCGTTTTCTATCCTCCCTACCCTTCTATGAGCCAGGGAGGCAAACAGCGTGTCCGCACGCTTAACTGGGGCTGTCTACGGACGGCGACAGATATGGACCGGCCCAGACTTTAAAGAAAAGAGCAAGTCCCCATTTATTTTGCTCTTGCTGCATCATCCTGTTCTTGCGCGTACGTGACGTCCAGCCTTGACCTGATACGGCAATTGCAGGGCCACAGAGCCGTCCAACAAGACATCCTCGGCGCTGTTCGTCGCACGAGAGGATGGTGGCAACGTCGTCTATGGGGTGAACTACGACTCTGAGTGGCTTGGCAGGATTTAACCGCACTTGAGCAAACTGTTCCTAGCACAAGTTGGGATCTTAAGCTGTCAGTTGCCACCTTAGCTTGAATAAAGGAGCCGTTCTTTTCAACTCGCCACCGTGGGATTCACAGTCTTTGTTCAAGCTCCAGTTAAATGACAAAACGTTATTTGAGTGCCCAGGGATGGCCTCTCTGTGGGGTGTAAGCACTGTCATCTACGAAGATCAGTTTTCACGGTTCAGATCGACTTTGTCGAATTTGTGGCTCAGTCCGGCTCACGGTTTTCACTGCTCCAATATAGACTGCGCTAACTTGTAGATGTAGACTGGCAAGTTTGCCGAGTGACGACAAAGTTTCGTTTGCTTTTGAGCATCAATGAAGTGGAGGATTAGGTTTTAGTGTCTCAGCACGGGCAGATCTTTGGAACTGCAGTGCCTTTGACCGGCTCGGTTTGTGCGTAAGTTCGGCACGAGTACTGCTGAGGTGAGGCTGGCATTCTTGGGCAAGTGCTGTACTCAATGGGTTAATTCACCAGTATCCCAGACTCCGCACACGCGGGAAGCCCGACAACCTTTGTCTCTTGCAGATTTGCCAAACATGCACTCCATGCCGGACCTTATGAAGCTTTCCTTTTTCTGGCAAGTCTCAGATTCTCTTGTCCAGAGCCACCGGCGCTTGCGATCGATCCTGGTCTCAGGAAGAGCAAGCTGAAGCCTTTGGGAAATACCCGCGTCTCAATGTCGGCGACAGGTGACGAGGACTGTGGCAGTGGTTCCGGAGCCGACTAGCTACCTGTCCCTCCCTAAACAGTGCGTGAGGCGCCCCCAGTCTGTGACCCAAGTCGTGTTCTTTCCACAGCTCCAGACGGGCCCCACATGCCGGGGAGGCCGATCGTAAACTCCAAGACGCTAGAAGTGTTTAATGCGGCCAGCAAAATCACCATCGTGGCAAGGTGTTTTCGACATTTTTCCTTCAACATCAAGTCCGGGCTCTTCGGTCGTTTCGGAGCCATGCCATGGCAATGTGGCATTTTAGGTTTGGGAGTGACATCGCGATGTATCACTAAAGTGGTGTTCAAGCAGTTTAGAGGCTGGAATACGTCAGTGCAAAGGACGCTGCATGCAAGGAAGCAGCTAATGTACAAACCTGAGAGACGGCACAGTGTGTTTTGGAATCCACTTCTGAAGCTTTGCTTAGGTTTGGTCCGGGTGCAGGCAGTGCAGGGGATGACTTCCAGTTTTCATTATCAGCGAGCAGCGCTGCATACCAACATGTTGCAATGGTACGAAAAGGGCGCGGGGCATGCGGGGACCTGGAGGGCAGACTCTCACAGTGACGGGGCTCAGTGGCTTTCCCCTTCCTGCCGGCTCTTGCGAGCATCTGCAAGACAGGCTCCGAGTTTCTTCATCTACCCGCCGAAACCTCTTGTCAGGTCAGCAGCAACATGTAACAGATGTTTTCGGCATTCTATGGCGATGAGAACGTCCAATCTTGCCAAAATTTGCCAAAATGATTTCGGTTCCCACGTGTCAGGAGGGCAATGACGTGGACTGGACCGTTTCGGTCGAAGGCAAGGTGACCAACATTCCAGCATATCTACAACCGCGTGATTACTCGAGATTACTCGAGCTCTCGTTTCAACTTTGTCGGTCTGAGGAAAGAAAGCCAGACACTTCTCGATCACTGGCAACAGCAACGATGTGGCCTCTTGCACAGCATTTATCGCCGGAGCGTTACTGATCTAGGAAACATAGCTGTGGTCTGGAAAAGCCGTAAAAACGAATGAAGGCATAGCAATCACACTGCAGAGGTCTATGATGCAGCCCTGGGCTGGGAGAAGCAGATGAAGAACGGCGTGTCCCTTCTTTATGCGGTGGATGCTAAGAAGCGTTCGGGCATGAGCGACAGCTTCTTGGCCGCACTTGTGCATCGTGTTGGGCTGTGGAGGACAGCTCGGCTGCGATGGAGTTTTTTGCTGTCCTAGAGGCCTTTTGCCGAACTGGATCCAGTCAAGCGCCGGATTGGAGTACAGCTCGAAGATCGGAGATTTGAAGGCTCCGTGCATCTCTTGTAGATGTTGGATGTTGGCGCTCGTTGCGGTCAGTTCCGTGTAGTTTACCCCTGGCATCAGATGAATGTCTTCCAGCCTGACCCGGAGACCGAGAAGAGCACCTTGGAGTGGGAGGTGCGGAGTCTCTGGGTGACTGTCTCCTGCAGTTTCACCGGAGTGATTTTTTACATTGCAGCCAGGCTGCCCTGAAAGGGAGGCTTCAAGGACAGACTGGATTAAGAAAAGCTTGGGACGTCTGCTTCTGCTCATTGTGGCTTCGCCCCGACAAGTGGTGGAGGACTTGAAAAGAAGGCAAGCAAGGTACTCTCCACGGATCCTCAGTACGTCCTGAAGATATCTGAGTCAGGCTTGGTGCCTGTTGACTCCACCAGCTATCCATTCTCCTGTCGTGCTTTTTGAGGCCTCGATGCAAAGGTCCGTGCTCCTGCCAAATTGGGAACTGCCTTCGGCGCAGATGCCACCGTGCCCGTCGAAGGGACACCGACGATGTCAGGCGGGGTCGGAACCTTGAAAGACCATACTATACACGGGACAGTATGCACCGCTATTGCCCAGATCCAGATCAGCCGCCCAAGTGAAGGCATGATTCTCAGGTCCGACAACTGGGTTGAGCTTCAGAACCGCCCCAGATTCCCGGTGACTCCTCAGGGTATCCTCTGCATAAAGCAGCATCTTTGAAGTCACTCTCGCGAATTCCTAACGTTTGTTCTCGCAGCTTTGGGGTCATCTCTATACGGTCAAACGGTCAAAGTGTCAGAAGCGGATGGCAGCGGCTCTGCAAGTTTGCAGAAGCCGGCACTATGGCCTCTTGATACATGCCCTGCACATGCCAGAAATCATCTGTCTCGCGTCGACCCAAATGCTTTGAAGGCTTTGCAGAGTGGAAGGGCAAGTCGGACCCGAGCTCAGGGAACCGCCAGCACCGACAGTAGCCTTTCAGGCACAGATTGAACGCTGCTCGCTCCGCATGCAGGAACTCAGAAAGGGCCTGGAATTGAACGTGGACGCGAAAGCCACCGTAAAGGTGCGGGCCTTGTGCAAGCTGCAAAGCCTAAGTGCTCCCCAGGCTGCCTCAGCACTGTGGAGCAAAGCATCGCAGATGGAGTGTTGTTTTGGGAGAAGATAGTCCCCAAAACATAGGCAAATTCAAAAATCGTTCAAACTCTGCCCCCAATCCTAATCGCCCCAAATGTTTCAGGGCCTAAAACCCAAGGCATTTACAATAGGCCCTTACACAAGGCACCGGCTACAATGCCTTGCAAGAGCTTTATGATAGCCTTTTGCAGATTTCCTAGCCAAGTGTCGAATTAAGTGCTTGTCTTTTCTCTAACCCATTTGTACTTGCAGCACAGGGCAGCTTAGATCTTAAGCTTCGGAAAGCGAGCAATTCTGCAGGAGCGCAACGTCTCGCTGGCACCTGTGGGCCTTGGCCTCTCAGCTGATCTCGCCACGCTGGCACCCGGCGTGGCTGCTGCTGGCTCGTGGCCTTGCCTGAAAAAAGAAGTCCATCTCAGAGACAGAGACAGATTTCGGAATCTGGAAGAGAAGATACGAGAAGAAAGATTGCTCACCGAGGAACCTGTACCTTCGGAGCCGCTACAAGCTTGGGTCAGACCGGCCCTCGCTGACTGGGACCTTGGCCTTCCGATCCAAACAGGTGCCCGAGGCCCCAAAGGGAGCGAGCACTACAAAGCCCTCGCCGCGAGAGACTGCACTCACAGGTCAAGGCCGCCGGTGTCGCCACGCTGCAGACCTCCGGGGACGTCTCGGGTGCTTTCCGAGTCACGGCAGAAAATCTGTGCCTTGGAAGCCTCATTTCGTGCTTGGGGAAGCTGGTGCTTCCAGTCACCAATGGCTTGCATCAACTCACCCTGTCCAAACACGAAACCGCAACGCCGCCGCAGCGCGGAGAGACTTCATATCATCTTAACTGGCCACGCATAATGCACCATGCATCTCTCGGCTGCTGCTGCCTCAGCATGAGGCACGGCGTGGATGCAAGATATGAGATGTCCTCCGATGATGATGAGGGTATTCGGCAACTTGGACTTTACGAGTTAGAGCCTTCGGTCCAACAGTGAAGTTCACCTTCGGCATCTGCAGTCGGCATGCGAAGGCAGGCGGCCGAAGTGAAGCTTCCTCGTATGGACTTCGGAGGCTGGGGCACTGCACTACGCTGGGCTCTTACTCGAGACGGAAGCTACTGGCAACCGCCAGGTGGAGGCTTCCTGCGTGGAACGGGCAAAGTCTACAGAGGCTGCTGATTGGACGTAGACGTAGCCCTTGCGTGACAGCATGGGAAGCGGCAGACAGTCTGGACATGCTATGATCATTTGGAGGCAGGGAGTGGGGCGAGCAGCCGCGTGTTCAGCTGGGTGTCCAGTACGAGGGCGACCTTAGTCCGATCCTTAATCTGGCAAAGCCTGGTCCTCCTGTGCGAGTCCACGTCGCACATCGCAAAGCACAGCTGCGAGGCCTGCTGGGCAAGAGCGTTCACCTGGGCGGGGAGAGTGCTGGCTTTGACTCCGGCAGGACTGGCTCATGGCGGCTCATGTTTTTAGGGGGCCACTCATCTCGGGTACTCTGTCATCGTTCTCGACCGCATTCTGTGGAGGAACCTTCTGGATGAGATGGGAAAGCCTTGGAAGAGTCCCGAGCTGAAGAAGGCGAAGAACAGCCCCTTGGCAATGAGCGAGCTTGCAACCGTGAAGCCTTTCTCATTCCATCCTCAGCCGAGGCCACATGTTGATTTGTGTTGTCACGAGCCCTCGTTGCCTTTGCGATGCCTGAGGTGCAAAAGTGCTCAGAAAGCGCATTCAAAGCGAGTCACTTGTCTCATGATGTTTACTTAGTCTAGCTATGCTGCTTTTTCGTTTGACTTGATCGTCGGCAAGACAAGGTACGGAGAAGGGCGCAGATGGATTTCCAAATGAAACGGTGTCCAGCTGCTTGCTGCCTTTGTCAGAACAAGGATTACGAGGGTGCCCAAACTCAGAAGCTGACATGGATAAATCGAGATCCTCCACAACTCATGGTACAAGTTTCTCTACGAGGGCGGTACAGTGGGACTTCTGGTGACTTCTGCAAGCGAAGATGCAAGTAAGCATATCAATCAGTATGTTCTAGGTCTCAGGTTCCCCTCACGAGTCCAGCAAAGCGAGTTGTGAGACAGCTATGCGCAGTGAGCCTTCATCGGTTACACAGTGAAACAGGAAGACTGTGTGATCGGACGCCTCTGCATTGGAGCCAGTACGGCAGGGCATGGCGCTGGGCAGAAAGCAGCTGGACCTCAAGTCGTTGTGGGACCTTTTAACCTCACAGTGGCTGTCCGGCACACAGCTGATGTGGATCATCAGCGGTATATTCCTTGGCTAGCACAAGGCTTCGGATGACTGTGCAGTGACTATGCAGTTAGAGGGTTAATTTGGACTCACCCCTTCATGCGGATTACTTTCAATTACAACGAGAAGGCTCACCGAAATCATCCGGTGCAAGTCTTGCAGCTGATTTCAACTTTTGTTTCCTTGGTTCTGCAGCAGCCATTTAGAGCTGCTGCTGGTATTTGGTTGCCAAATTGGCTGATCCCTGCCCTGCGTCCACATCGAAAGAACAGACCCGGAGCATCTCAGAGCTGTATCAGGGCTGACGCTCAATCAGAACATATGTGGCTTCTGAGAGAAAGGGGCAGGAGCGATTGGAGGTTGCCCGAGACGTTGCCCGAGTTATGATTCAACGGATCTCGGTGGGCTTTGGAACTGGGTGGCGAGCATGATGGCATGTTGAGGCATCCGTGGTGTTCTGCGAGGGTTTGTTCTGCGGGCGTTTGCGCTTCCTGCTGCATAAGGTTCCCGGGTGTGCTGAAAAACGTGCTGAACCTGGCTGCCGAGCTTCGCGCGGGCCATGGTCACCTCCACGGCTCAGGACACAGCAGGGGCGCAAGGGCTGTGACCTGCTGACACACTCCATGACGCCACATGCCTGTGAGGAGTATTGAATCTAGCCACGAACAGCGTGGCTTACTTCGAATGGACCTCGATAACCTACATTGCCAAAGGGAGAATCAGGTCTTGCCAGCTTGTAGAGTGACGAGGAAATTAAGGAGCGTTGAGGCAGTGTAAACCGCGTCCAACTTCATGATCATGCTGCTGTGCGACCTTGAGCACCTGAAGAACCTATAACCACGCAGGATGCTGTCATGCAGGAACCGCGAAAAGACAAGAGAAGCAGAGAGGTGCTGGACCCACAGGACAAGAATGATAACTCGTGCAATCCCGTGTGACAGTGTGGGACCATAGTTGTTCAAAGCTAACTACCGGCCAAGAAAGTTTGGAAATGAAGCTCTGGGCCCTTCAACCCGTAAGACATTGTCATGCCACTCGTTCTGCGCTTCCTCTCGTGAACTGGCACTCGGAAGTTGAAGCTGGACGTGACATGCACTGCAAGGTATGGTGGTTCAACTTGCGGAAGCTCTGACTCGCCTGCTATATCCGCAGCGACGGAGCTGAAAAAACACAGCGAGTAGAAGGTGCATGTGCACACCGGTCACCAACCCAGTGAGAATGAACGCTTACTGTGCGAAATAGGACATCTTTTCATCAGTAGCCATCCTTTCTTCTAGACATGCTGAAAGTCAAACCCAAACTTGGTGTTACAGAGAATGTGCCTGAACTAGCTTTCGTAACATTTGTACAATTGTCCATCTGTCCGTTTATCTATTTTTCTGCCTATCCATGTCTCTGTCTTTCTATCGGCCTGTCTATCTGTCTGTCTGTCTGTCTGTCTGTCTTTTTATCTGTCGATATATCTTTACATCTACCCACCTATCTATCTGTTTGTCTGTCTAGCTATCTATCTGTCTGCCTGTCGGTCCGCCTGCCTGCCTGCCTGCCTGGCTGGCTGTCTATCTGTCTGTCTGTCTGTCTGCCTGGCCATCTACCTATCTACCTGTCTATCTGGTTACCAATGTATCCATCTATGTATTCATCCATCTGTTTGCCCATCGATCTATACATATATATCTACATCTACCTAGTGTTTTCCCCATCTAACTAACTGTCTAACTATCTGTCTATCGATCATTCCGTCTATCTAGTACTATCTCAGACACTCATCGAGTGCATCTTGCTTCTGGCCTCCAGAACACTAATCTACTCGAATCCATTCTTGTTCACTCTAATGTGTTCTTTTTTTAAATCTACTTTAATCCACTCTTCTCTATTCTAGCCTAATCTATCGTATGTTTGTAGTGTAGTGCAACTTGTTGCACGGAGTGACATGTACGAGCGACAGCAGCAAGTGCACACGCAGCTGCTGGTCGCTCAAAGATTCCTTCAGCTTTTCGCATAGCGCCTCGCCCTCGCCTCGCCATGGCCGGAAGCGGAAGTGGTGCCCCAGGCAGCTCCAGCGACGCACCCGCGGAGCCTCGCCTCGACTTCCGCACCGCGGCGAGGGTCTTCCAGGGGCTTGGTCAGCTGAGCGACGACGATGTCACGGTGTGCTTGAGAGCAGCTGGAGTGGAGACCTCGCGCAGAGTGCTGGGCCTGTGTCACAACGCTCTGATGGGACTCGATGGCCACTACCGCGCACGGATTATGGCGCGGGATGCCATCCTGGCGCAACACCATCCAGCAGCCGCTCCGCAGCAGACGCCTCCTTCAAAGCCTATGCCTACTGTCGGGCCGACCAGCAAGCAGGCCTCTAAGGGCACGGGGAAGACAGCGCCGCCGCGCACGCAGCAGCCGGGAACGTCCTCTACCAGTACCACGCCTCCGCCGGCTACTACACGATCCGCGGCTACTTCAGCAAGCGCGGGGGCCAGCCCCGGTGGGACAACCACAGGCAAAGCAACGGTGCCGACGAAGACGCCGCCAGCCAAGCCGACTGCGGCCGCCGCAGCCGCCGCGCCGCCTGGAACGGTGAAGCCAGGAGTGGTAGCTCATATCGGCAAGCGCCCTCCCGTGGTACCCTCGGCGCCTTTCGAGGACACGACAGCCCAGGACGTCGAGCTCATGGTGGACAGGCCAGTTGGGACAGCCAAGGCCCCATCGCCGTCGACACCGCCGCCCGCCGCTTCGCTGGGCTACCTCGACCTGATCGTGCCGGACCTCGAGGACCACATGCTCCAGGCGCCCACGACCAAGGCTTTGCCGCCAGTGCCGGAGTCGCCCATGTCAAGCGAGCACGCCGAGGAGGACAGCGACTCCGACGACGACGAGCCGGTTGCAGTGGAGCCGTGGCCTAGGGCCGAAGATGACGATGGCACCCCAGCACAGCCCGCCCTCGCCACGCCAGCAGGTTTGAGAGAGCCAGCCACAGACAACGACGCGGGCGCCACGCAGGAGATTGGTGGGGAGGAGCAGCCGGCTGCCTCGTCAGCCGACCTCCCACAGACCGCTGCCGCTGGTGACCCGGACGATGCTCCTTTGCCACCGCCGAAGTTCCCGCCGCCGGACGTCGTGGAAAGGGAGAAGCGGCGAGCAGAGCGCCGCGCCAGAGAAAGGGCCGAGCGCGAAGCGGAGCGAGCCGAGCGTGAGGCCGCCGAGCGCGCTACGCTCGACGCCTGGGCCGGCTTTCCGGACCCTTGCAACGTCTTGCAGAACGAGACGAACAGCATCTGGACGTTGCCGCCGGGAGTGCCTCCACAGCCAGCTCCTTCGCGCCACGCAGACGCACATGTTCAAGGCTATTGTAATCTCGGGTGTGAAACCCCGAAACGCCTTCGAACAAATGTGTGCCTTGGCCGCTGCTACCGGCCTATCATACAGACGAGGGCCGGCACGGTGCATAAGCACCATTTTTGCTCCCCGTGCGATCGCGCACGCACAGCTCGCGATTGATGAAGCCACGGGAGCCGACAAGCGTTTTGCTAGATCTTCCCTTTGCCGCCTCGCCGCGCGCCGCCAAAAAGAATGAGGACCGAGAGTTTGTGATGACCCTCTCCCCCGGCCCTAACCCACAGGAGGGAGTGCGAGCTGCCACTCTTCTCTCGCATGCTAGTTCTCTTCTCGCGTTGCCTCTCTTTCTCCAGCCGAAGCCGAGCTGCCAGGAGTGCCTCCTCTCGCGCATTAGGGCTCCTTTCTTCGTTGCCTCTCTCCTCCCAGTGCAGTGCCAGGGTATGCCGACATGTCACGTTTGCTTGTGAAGCTGAGGGCCGTGCACATGACATGTCCACTGCAGTTTCATGTTTGCTTGTGTCAGTGAATGCAAGTGTCGCGCCTCGCCTCGCTT